AGTGCACAACAACTAGAACCATAAGAAAGTGAAATAACTATGTGAAAACTAACAAAATCATACAAAATCATACGAAATCCTAAGACCAGGAAAACGCCGGTAATGCACAAATGCTCCTATTGGAGCCAAACAACGTTCGTGAAAATAGGAAACTGGGAGGAGGCCCAGCAGTGGGCGCTCGAGAGAACACCTTGCTTTACTTGCAAAAGCTGTGAGACTGGATCCAGGAAGCGACCAGCAGTGAGGCTCTGATTGAATGGAGGCAGCTGTTGGTACGGAGAGCGGGGGATTTCATGGAGGAAGGTAACAATGCTGGAACAATGTCAGTTCAGTTTTTTTGACACGAAGAGCCAAACCGGAAGTCCAAGTAGTAACCTAGGTAACCCTGGAGTAGAACAACCCAGGTGAGAGGGTGATGGGGGTTTATATAGGTCAAAGATAGTTTCAAACTCCTCCCACAAATATATACATATAGCAGAAAATGTATTCATAATTACTGTAATTTTCCTTTTCTGGTCACAGGCCATGTCAGCACAACAATGGGTAAGCTCCTCCTATCCCCATGTAGACAGGAACCTAATTAAACAAAGGTATAAGTACCCCTTCCAACCTCCTGGTCTTCAGTCTAAGTTCCAAAGCAAAGTCCCAAGAGTGGGACTGCTATGGCCTACGACCAGGAAAGGAAAATTATGGTACATATGAATACATTTTCCGCTTCCCTGGCCATATCCATGGTAGCACAACAATGGGTAATACCCAAGCTCAAACCGAGGGGAGGGAAAGAAACACATCCAATGCAAAACCAAAATTATTGAAAATCACACGTGAATATACAATATAACATTTTTAAACCGAAGGAACACTTTTGCCAAAATTATCAAACTGCGCAGTTCTAACGTCCAACTGGTATTGTTTAATAAAGGTATTAATCAATGACTATGTAACTGCTTTACATCACCTTTTGCTGCTGCAGCCCATGATGAGGAAAGTGATCTTGTAAAATGGGTTTTTAGACCTTCAAGAACTGGTATCTTAGCAACTTGATAAGCTTGAATAATGGCAGAAACAATCCATCTGCTTAAAGCATTTTTAGATACCTGAAGGCCTTTTCTGATTCCATAAGGCAGGTGTAGGCAACCTTTTAGCAGCACTGTGCCGATATAGGATTGTGATGTCCCATAGCGTGCTGGTCCTATCTTTTTTAAATCGAGGGGTGTATGCTGCCGTGTTATTTTTACTGTAATTGCGTTGTATCCTTGTATTTGTGCATATATTCAGGGCCGTCTTTAAAAGTGACTGGACCCTGGGCAAAGCATTTGCTTGGGGCCCCTTGGACCCTGTCCCCCCTCCCCAGGCATGCAATCACGTCCTCCACCTCAACGCAGTGGCGGACCTAAAGTAGAGAGGTGCAAGAATTTTTGGGGGTCTCCCTGTTGCAAGGGTAATTAAAGGTAGATCCCCATCTGTCGTGCAACTCCAGAAATGCATTGTCAGCTAGGGCTCTACCATTTACCCATGTTTGCAGGTCTGTATTTAGCACTAAGCAGTTTTTGTGTGTTTGAATGTAAACAGGTTTTTGTATGGAATATGTTTGTATGTGGTGTTGGCGTGATTGCAAGCATGTATTTGTGTAGTGTTGGTTTTTGAATGCAGGGGTGTATTTACATACAATTTTGGTGTGTAACACAGACATGTGTTTGTACGTAATGTTGAAATTTGAATGCAGGGGTGTATTTATGTGTAGTGTTAGTGTGTGAATGCTGAGATGTATCCACATACACACACACAGAGATATATACACACTGAAATGGGCACAAACATGCTGACATACAAACATACTGACACACAGACATGCTGACACACACACACACACACACACACACACACACAGATATACTGACATGCAAAGACATACTGACACACACAGATGACACACACACACACACACTGACAGACATACTGTCACAGACATACACTTTAAAACCCACCCTTCAGTTTCCTACCTTTCCTGCTAGTGGCTGAAGGTGTTGGGAATTGGGGTCTAGCTCTCTCGGCCAGCCCCCCTTCAATCTGCCTACTCTTCTTTCCCGCGCGCTTCTCTCTTTGTGGGAGGAAGTGATGCCGTCACTTCCCCCCAGCCTGCTGCTGAAAAGCAAGGGGCCCGGGCCCGCTCGTGCTGTTAAAGCGCCTCAGCTTGCGACCAAGCCCCTGCTGACAGAAGCCCACTGGATGGTCCTTTGTGCATGGGCCACCCGGTGGGCCTCCTTAGTGTGCGGATTACCGGCCAGAGGGTTAGAAATAGTTGAGGCCAGCAGGGCTCACGGTGCAGCTGGCCAGTTTGCCCCGCGTTAAAGACGGACCTGCGTATATGAGCTATTATATTGTATATGTTCATGAGTAGTTTATGGTATTGTGTATGATACATATGAATATGGGCTGTGTATGGGGGCTGCTTGTGGAATTGTGTGTGTGTGGATGGATATGTCACAGTGTGTGTTTGGTAGTGTGTGGGGGCTGTTTGGGGTATTGCATGTGGGGTTGTGTGCATGTATGTGGATTGTTAGTGGTGTTTCGTTTGTGCGGATTGTGTGCATGTTTGTATGAGGGGAGGGTTATTCTGCATTTCTGTGTATATCTAGCAGTGTGGGTGGGTTCCAGTGGGGACCAGGCTGGTCAGGTACATGTCAAGGACAGGAGCTGCAACAGCAACTGCGAGCTGCTCTACTACGTGTGGATTCCTATTCACAAGTGCTGGAAGGAAGTGATCTGAGATCAGTTCCTCTATGTGCTGCAATGCATAAATTGAGGATTGTCCTTCACCACCTTTTCGGATTAGCAGATATCTGAAGTTTCACTGAGACTCCTGATAGGCCAGAGCCTGTTTGGCTCTAGCAGCCTTGAGTGCCGTGCAAAGACACCTCGAGTGCCGTGCATGGCACTAGTGCCGTAGGTTGCGTACCCCTGCCATAAGGTATAACAATGAGACTCTCTGAAGAAGTCACTGCAGAAGTTCTTTCAATATATACCTTAAGACATCTTACTAAGTCCAATGGTAGAAGTTCTGTTGGCTGATTTTTGCTGAGAGGAACATTAAGCTGGGACAATTATTACCTCATTCAGGTGGAAAGAAGATGTGACTTTGGATATGAATTCCAGAACTGCACATTAGGTAACTCTGTCTTAATGAAAGACCGTAAAGGTCTACAGATCTGGAGAGAGCTGTAGTTCTGAATCTGTTCTACCTGAAACTAAGGCTACCAGGAGCACTGTTTCAATTGTAAGAAGATGAGATATGGATTCTAGCTGCTCAAAGGGATTTGACTTTATGGCTCTTAAAACTAAAGATAGATCCTATGGAAGATAAACAGGTTTTATCGGAGGATGAATCTTGAGCACTGCTGCTAAAAATCTGGAAATATCTGCATTGAAGGCCCATTTAAAATTAGTGAGTGCAGATAGGACAGAAATGCGAACTTTTAAGGTGTTATAGCTTAGCCCCTTTTCCAGACCTGCTTAAAGGAATTCAAGGATATGTGCAGGGATTGTGAGTTTTTACTTCCTTGGGTTTGGCCCAGACTAAAAAGGCATCCCAAACTCGACAATAAGTGGATGAAGTACATTGTTTCCTTGACTGCAACATAGTATTTACCACGGCAGGAGAAAATCCTTTGTTATTTAGCCTTTGCCTTTTAATATCCATGCCTTCAAGTTTAGAGACTGTGGGTTTGGATGAAACACCGGGCCTTGATAAAGAAGGGACGGATTCTGAGGAAGTTCCCATGGAGGTTCCAGGCATAGGCGCTGCAGAAGGGGAAACTAAGGTCTGCGAAGACAGAAAGAATCTATTGGGTTGACAGTCATTTGCTCCTGACCAACTTTTTTAGGAATGGAGCTAGTAGAGGAAAGGGAGGAAAGGCGTAAACGAGATTGAAGTTTCAGTCGCTGGACAGGGCATCTCTTCCTGTTGCTTGAGAGTCAAACATCCTGGAAAAATATTTTGGAACCTTAAGAAGACTTGCAAGCACAAAGTTTTTTTAACCATGTGATTGCCTAAGCACAGCTCTCCTTAGGACAAAAGATAGAATAGGAGAGTGACGATACAGATTGTATAGATTACAATTAACACATACCCAAAAAGACATATACATGCAAAAGCACAATACACAGATGCAATTAAACCACAAAGTCCTAATAATCAACTCAGGTCACACATACAGAAACACTCAAGCACATATACAACAACCTAACTCTTTGTTTGTTCGTTTTTTATTATTTTATTAAACTAAAATTAATTACGCCAGCTTTTTTTTTACCAAACTGAACTTAAAAACAACAAAAGAACCGCCACGATCTAATTTTAATATAAATCGGACAAAAAAAAAACGCCAGGGGCTATTATGCACACCTGAACTCAATAATCGCAAGACTCTCAACCGAGTCGTACTAAATCAAAAGAAATGCAAGGTTTTTCCACCAAACCCGAACTTGGCTAAATATGCCAGCGCTTAACCGCACTTGGCAGTATTATATAACAGTATTAAGTAAGTAGTAAAACAGATTCTCAAGCAGACACTTTCACACATAAAACTCACACACAGGACGTAGATAGACAAATTGACAGGTTCTATTCAAATAAAGGGGACATGTGGGCATACTATATACCTGTCTGACGTTAACCACAGGAAGCCGAGTGAAGGCCCAGAGTGCAGACCAATTCCAAAGACGGGAAAATATAGGTAAGTTACTCATTTACCATATGCAGAGGTGATCAGGCTCTTTTTTTCCAATCTCTGGGGGTCTCCTCTCCGGTCCTGGGATTTTACGGCTTCGAGCAGCATAACAACAACCCTCTCGTCCCTGTTCTGTTCGGAAGTGCGCCAACTGATTTAGATACCAAAGAAAACTTTGATTATTTGTCTATCTACTCCTTTCTAAATTGATTGTGCGCATGTCTTCTGGAAGTAAATCACACCGGACACATTGCAGGTTTATGAAGAACTCCAGAGTGGCCTTTTTTTCCAGGGGGTGCAATTCCCTTTTAAAGCAGAAATACGTCATGTACAGAGTCACAGTTAACATACAGTATACATTCATCAATTGGTTAACAGTCTAAGGGGTCTTGTCTAAACCCCCCCTACAGGATGTAGTGTCGTCATTACAGACTTCTCCCACCCACATTCCAGCTCCATCTTGGTTACACGATGGGAGGGGGGGAAGTGAGTAGTAGTTACTTTAACAGTGATTCTCTATTTTGTTAGCTGTTACTTTGCACAAAGGAAGTGGGGGAGGAGTTTAATAAAGGAAGATGTTCTTTTAACAGAGGAATTTTGTTACATGAGGCTTGCTCGATGGGAAGGGGGGAGGCTAGCAGGATGGGAGGAATTTGCAGAGGAAATAGCAACTGAACACATTGTAGGGGGGAAGGGAATATTTACTCTAGCAGCCAGTTTCAACATAGTGAACACAGAATAAATAGACATTAGTAAATAGCCATTTTATTTTAATTCTTCTGTCCATAACATACTGGGTCCATCTTCACTCTGCTCAATAAGTTGGCTACTACATTGTCTGGACCTGGGAGATGTACAGCTACCAGTCCCTAAAGATTCTTCTGAACCCAGGACATCATGGGATTCAAGATCCTCATTATGCTGTGGCTCCTGATACCTTATTGGTGATTTATATATGGTAAAAACAGTACCATTGTACACTCATACTTTTACCCACTTCTTGTAGAGGTCCTGCTGGAATATTCAACAAAAATCTCTTGGCAGAAGCTTTCCATTTTCCTTGGACTAACTGTTGTTGTAGACGCGCTCTCTAACCCCAGTGGCTGGCATCTGTAGTGAGGATTATCCGTGGAACTTCTTCCAGGGAAAATTCTCTATAAATATTCTTGTTGGATAGCCAACATAGAAGGGAGAGATGGGCTTTGTGGGAAAGTCTGATGGGTTGGTGAGGATTGCCTGTCTTGAATTGCATCAAGAATCTTTCCTGTAGCAGCCTCCTTCTCCATTGGCCCTATCTTGTTAGACCTATTGTGAAAGACATTGATCCCAATAGACTCATAATGTTCTCTGCCATAGTCACATTTACAGTTCGTATTTCTCTGGCTTTTGATTGGAGACGTTTTCCTCTGTCTCTGGAAAGGCAAATGTTTCCTTTTAAAGTATTGAAGACAGCGCCTAGGTAAATCCTCTTCTAAGACTGTGTTTGATGACTTTTGGTGATCTTACACCTGTGCTCTAAAAGCGTCTTTATACAAATGTGTCCGTGAGTAATGAGAGACTATTCATTGTCTGCCAGGATCAATATATCGCTCAGATACTGGTAAATCGAGAGGCCTCTTTTCCTTAATTCTGCAATGAGGACAACTAAAATTTTAGAGAAAGTACAGGGGCAGTGCTTAATCTGAAGGGAAGGGCTCGAAATTGATATAGCAAATCTCAGGAATTTGTGTTGTTTGGCTATGGGTAGAGGAGAGTAAGCGTCCTTTGATCGATGGACATCATCCACTTGCCAGGGAAGACTATTTTCAGCATAGATTGGAGTGATTCCATCTTGAACTTCTTTACCTTCAGATAACCATTCAGACGGTGTAGATCCAGCATCGGTCTCAAGTTCCCCGATGCTTTCTTGGTTAGAAACAGGTGGGAGTAAAAACCCAGGTATCTTTCTTTGTGTGGCACTTGTATAATGACCTCTTCTTTTTGCAGATATGTAATAAATTCTTTCAGGGCTGTTCTTTTTTCTTTGTCTCCTGGCCAATTTGTGACTTGAAAACTTGTTTTTGGTGGAGTACCGTCGAACTCGAGGAAGTAGCCTCTTGAGGCCCATCTGTCCTGTCTCCAGTTTGGGAGAGAAGGCCATCATAATGACCCTGAACTTTTGGTTGGACCTGTTACCAAGATATCATGGGTTTCATCAAGCAATCAGTGTCACGGGGTATTATGAAGCCAGTCAGCCACAAAAAGGCCTTGATACCCAGATTTGGTTTGGCCTAAAGATGATTCATCCAGTTTTGACATGAAAGTAGAATCCTTCCAAGATACCTTAGATTCTTCCTCTAGCAAGTATTTTGCAGATTTAAGAAGAAAGAAAATCACATTTCCGGTTCATGAAAACATTAGTTAACCTTTCTTTCAGTAATGGACCAAGACGGATAAAAATCTTTCACCTCAAGGTGAGGTGCTCCCAAAGCAGATGCAGCCATAGTGAGATTGGCTAAATGCACCACTTTACCAGTGGACAATGCTGACTCTCTTAGGGACTCTATGGATCGCAAAATGGACCTCAATTTAGCCAAAGCTCATGTGGCAGCAGGCATTGGACTCCTTCCTTTTATGGCCCTTACATCTGTATCCCGAGCTCTTAAGATATGGCCAGAGGATATTGAAGAAGCTCTGTGAAATAGAAGAAGTAGGTCATCTATTATAGATAGTCTCCAAGACGTTAAATGGGGTGTTTTATCAGAGTCCATACAGATGTTTAAACAGCAGCTAGATGCATACTTGCAAAAAAACAGAATATTCAATTAAATAATTTTTTAACTGTAGGGTAATAAATAGGATGAATCTGACTGCCATTCTGGGGTCAAGAGAGGTTTCTTTTTCCTAGTTTGTTGCAAAATTGGAAGTACTTCAAACTGTTTTTTTTGCCCTCTTTTGGATCAACAGGAAAAGACAAATGTGAGGATGGCTGAACTTGATGGACACCTGTCTCTCTTTTCAGCCTTTGTGATTATCTATCTATCTATCTATCTATCTATCTATCTCATGTGTTGTTATCCCTAATTCGCTTCCATTAAGGATATAAGTTTCTTGTGCATTCTTTATGCCAAAGTGCATAACTTTGCATTTTTCTACATTAACCGAACAAAAAACGGCAGTTAATGACTGCAGACGTACCCTGCACGTCCGCGGCTAAAAAGACCCGGGTTCTCATCTGGACCGGCGATGCCCGAGATCCCAGCTGCCCCTGTGGCAGCTCTGGCCCTCTAGGACATTAGGCAGTCCCCCAGCCACCTAAAATGTGAGAAAAAATAAAATAAATATGTTATACATATATTATATTCCAGGGTATTGCAAAATGCAATATGTCCATTCTTTTGTAGTAGCCACTTAGTCGCGAACACTGGCCAAAGTTAGCGTTTTTAAGTGGCTACTACAAAAGACTGGACATATTGCATTTTGCAATACCCTGGGTTGTCTACATTTGCAAATGATTTGCCATCATGGGAGTTATTGTAATTCGTAGCTACCTTGTGGTTTCAAAGGCAACATAACCAATTTGGCAAGTTTCAATGAAAAAATGAAATGGGCAAACCTTACATTTGACCCTGTAACTTTCAAAAAACACTATAAAACTAGTGCATGTGGGGTACTTTTATAATTGGGAGACTTGGCTGAACAGAAATATCAGTGTTTCAAAACAGTACAGTACAGTAAATGAGTAAGAGGAAAATTACAGCTAAACACAAACACTGCTGAAATGTAAAAACAGCCCTGATCCCAAACGGTAAGAAAATTGAAAAGCGGTCTGGTCACCAAGGGGTTAAATTTCATCTGCCATTTGAGTGCCCAGCCCCCCAGTCTATCTAAATCACTCTGCAGCAAAGTAATATCTTGCTCACATTGTATTACTTTACAAAGTTTTGTCATCTGCAAACACTGAAACATGAGTTTCAATGCTTTTTTCAAGATCGTTTTTAAACATGTTAAATACAAGGAGTGCCAGAACAGAAACCTGAGGGACACCACTTGCAACGCTCTGTACTCTATTATTAAGCAAATGTTCTACCCAAGAATAAGAATTTTCATCTAGATCAATTTATTTGAGTTTGAACACTAATCTATTGTGTTGAGCTGTATCAAACGCCTTGGCAAAATCCAAATACTTACTTCTTCATAGAATGCAATCAAGTTAGTTTGACATGACCTGTGCTTAATAAAACCATGCTGATTTTTGCTGATAACCATATTCTACTCAAGGAATTCTTGAATATTATCCCTTAATAACCTTTCAAATACTTTCCCAGCCACAGAGGTTAAAGGACCACTATGGGCACCCAGACCACTTCAGCTTAATGAAGTGGTCTGGGTGCCAGGTCCATCTAGGATTAACCCATATGGGTTAATCCAGCCTCTAGTGGCTATCTCACTGACAGCCGCTAGAGGCGCTTCCGCGCTTCTCACTGTGATTTTCACAGTGAGAAGATGCCAGCGTCCATAGGAAAGACTGAATGCATGCTATGGACTGACTGAATGCGCGCGTGGCTCTTGCCAGGGAGGAGAGTCCCCAGCGCCGAGGGAGCCTGGCGCTGGAGAAAGGTAAGTGTTTAACCCCTTCCTCCAACTTCAGCCTGGCGGGAGGGGGGCCATGAGGATGCAGGCACCCTCAGGGCACTATAGTGCAAGGAAAACTAGTTTGTTTTCCTGGCACTATAGTGGTCCTTTAAGCTCACAGGTATATAATTTCCAGGCAGGGATTTTGAACCCTTTTTGAATATAGGAGCTACATCCGCCTTTCTCCAATCCTCTAGAACACTTCCTGAAAGAAAACAGTCTTGAAAGATAAAAAATAAAAAAATAGGTTCACTTATTTCCACACTTAGTTCTTTAAGTGGATGAATACCATCAGGCCCTGGAGCTTTGCTTATATTACATTTCTTTAGTTGCTGCAGCACCTTGTCTTGAGTTAGCCAATTACAATTTTTCTGCACGTTTTTGCAGCAATCATTTTCATATCTATTGCCATAGGTTCTTCCTTAATATTTACGGAGGAGAAATAGTTATTTAAAATTTCTGCCTTTTCCTGGTCTTCATTAACCCCATCCCGGTTTACAGTGTACCTACACTTTAATTAGTTTTTTGTTTTTTTTTTAGAATTTATGTACGTAAAAAAAGTTTTGGTGCTGGTTTTGCTCTTTTTGGCTATCATTTTTTTATTTTAAAGTTTAGCAAATCTAATTGCCTTTTTTCACACATTATTGACTTCCTTATATATTTTATAGGATGCCTCTGATTTGTCCGATTTAAAGGCTTTGAATGCCCTTTTCTTATTTTTAATTTCTTGATTCACTTTCCCACTAAGTCACAATGGTTTCAATTTGTTTCTTTTATATTTATTACCCAATATTGAGAAATGTACCTTTCTAATATTTGTTGGAAGATATTTCATTTATCCTCAGTGTTGTTCTTTTCACCAAAGAATTTATGCCAATCAATATATTGTAAAGCTCCCCTTAACTTATTGAAATTGTCCTTTTTAAACTATATTGTGATCACTATTTCCCAAGTGCTCACGTACTTGAATGTTGGTCAAAAGATCAACATTGTTTGTTAGAACCAGGTCCAGACAAGTGTCTTTTCTAATTGGTGCTTGTACAAATTGTGACATGAAGGTGTCATTCAACATTTAATTTCCAATAATTAACGTGTTACCCTGATTTGCAGCTTTCTCAATTTGCTCAAACAGTTGTTGTTCCTCATCAATATTAACATTAGGTGGTTTATAACATATCCCAATCAATAATTGATTTCTCTTCTTTTGCCCCAAGCAGATATTTACTAGAGATGAGCGGACACCTGGATGTTCGGGCTCGCCGGGTTCGGCCGAACTTCAGCAAAGAGTTCAAGTTCATACTCGAACTTGACCCGAACTTGAACCCCATTGAAGTCAATGGGGACCCGAACTTTTAGGCACTATAATGGCTCTAAAAAAAGTCCTGGAAAGGGCTAGAGGGCTGCAAAAGGAAGTCAAATGGGGGTAAGAGTAGGACAAGTGCCCTGCAAACAATTGGAGTAGCCCCCAAAATATTGGGACATTTAAAAAGAGAAAACAAAGAATAAGTGCACTTGAGTATAACAATGGCTGGGTGAGGCCGGTATAAATGTCTATTCTGCACAAGGTACAGACAGGTCTGGTGGGATCCATGTCTGGTTCATTTTAATAAACGTGAGCTTGTCCACGTTGGCTGTGGACAGGCGGCTGCACCTTCTGTGATAACGCCCTCTGCCAGGCTAAACACACATTCAGACAATACACTGGCTGCAGGGCAGGCCAGCACCTCCAAGGCATAAAGGGCAAGCTCAGGCCATGTGCCCAATTTGAAGACCCAGAAGTTGAATGGGGCAGACCCATCAGTCAGTAAGTGTAGGCGTGTGCACACGTACTGTTCCACCATGTTGCTGAAATGCTACCTCCTGCTAAGACGTTCCATATCAGCTGGTGGTGCTGGTTGTTGTGGGGTACTGACAAAGCTTTTCCACATTTCGACCATGCTAACCCTGCCTTCTGAGGTGCTGGCGGTGCCCCAGCTGCGTTGGCGACCTCTTTCTCCTCCTCTGCCTTCGCCTTGTGCTTCCACTGAGCCCCTGGTGTCAGTTGGGAATGCCCTCAGCAGGGCGTCTACCAGCGTGCGCTTGTAGTCGCTCATCTTCCAATCACGCTCCAGTGAGGGAATTAAGGACAGCACGTTGTCCTTGTAACGTGGATCCAGCAGGGTGGCCACCCAGTAATCAGCACAAGTTAGAATCAGCAACAAGTCGTTGCGCAGGCACTTTGGTGACTCTAAATAACCTCGGGCCTATCGCACGTCCCTGTGACGGCGACGACGCATTCGGATGTCTGCCCTATCAACTTTCGATGGTACTTTCTGTGCCTACCATGGTGACCACGGGTAACGGGGAATCAGGGTTCGATTCCAGAGAGGGAGCCTGAGAAACGGCTACCACATCCAAGGAAGGCAGCAGGCGCGCAAAACACTGCTCACCCCCCCGACGGGTGGAGGTAGTGACGAAAAATAACAATACAGGACTCTTTTGAGGCCCTGTGTCACATCCTGTTCCTCGCTGCGTATCATTCTGGCAATGGCTTCTGGTATCCAGTACTCTTTTTGCTGTCCTTGCTTAGTTTTTCTGGTTTTCTGGTCTATATCTGGTTTTCTTTGTTGCTGGGTTTCTGGGTTCATTCTTATATTCCGTCCCTGGATTTCCCAGTCTCTTGGATTCATTTAAATGTTTGTTTTATGTTGCCACACCCGTTTGTTTTCCACTTTCCTTTTGTTTCAGCTTGGACCTGCAGCAGTGTTTCATGTCTCTGCCCTTTCTTGCAGGTAAGTGCTATTGTGGTTTAGTGTGGCTGTTTTAGCATACATTAGGCAGTGTAGGACCTGCCAGATATGGGGTACATTGGCATTGTTGGCAGGCTTGTGCAATGTATGATCATATAATGTGACTAAATCCCCATACTTTTCATATATAGTGCTTATCTGTGTTTCCTCTTGTTTTACCTTGTATTTCTTGTCTTGTTTTATTTTGTCTTGTAATCCCAGTCCATGTACAGTCCTGTCCAGTCATGTTCTTGTTTTCCTCATGTCTTGTGTACATGATCTAGGTTCTGCTTTCTGTTCTGCTCTGGTTCTGTGTTCTCCTAGTTTTGTCTTGCTTTCATGTATGGTGCCTATCTCTAGTCTTGCCTTTTTTTAGTACTGGATACATCGGTGCTGCAGAGCCTCCCAATTCAGCTCCTGGGAAGTCTGCCTAATTACCTGCTCCTAGTTCCTGGGATCCGCATAAGCTGAATCAGGGTTCTGGTATGTGGCTGCACAAACGCTGGTGCTCAACACCAGGGGGTGTGCGGTTACCCTGCACCAGACCCTGCTAATCCACCTCCACACTGTGACTCCTACTCTGAACATCAGGCACTCAGGGGTCCCGGTCCACGAAACCTCCGCCAGGACAGTGTCTGGGTCCCGGGCACCGGACCGCCACCCTGACACCCTGTAATTGGAATGAGTACACTTTAAATCCTTTAACGAGGATCTATTGGAGGGCAAGTCTGGTGCAGAGCGACTGACCCGTGCGTGCTGCAGCTGAAACTCCACTATCGCCTGCTGCCGCTCGCACAGTCTCTCCAGCATGTGCAAGGTGGAGTTCCACCTGGTGGGCACGTCGCATATGAGGCGGTGAGCGGGAAGGCCGAAGTTATGCTGCAGTGCAGACAGGCGAGCAGCAGCAGGGTGAGAACGCCAAAAGCGCTCACAGACGGCCCGCACTTTCTGCAGCAGCTCTGATATATCTGGGTAGTTTTTCAGGAATTTCTGCACCACCAAATTCAGCACATCGCCAGGCAAGGGATGTAAGTCAAACCGGCTAGGCCCAGAGCTGCTACGAGATTTCGCCCATTATTGCACACCAGCAGGCCGGTCTGTTGTTCCATGCCGTTTGGCTGTCGTTTCCCCCTGGCTGTGCTGGAGTTGGTGGTGAAGGTGTTATGCTGACCGGCTGAGGAGGTGGTGTAGGAGGAGGAGGTAACAGGAGGTAAAGAGAAATGCCCTGCAATCCTCGGTGGCGGAAGGACATGCGCCAAACTGCTATCCGCCTCAGGCTCATCTGCCACTACATTTGCCCAATGTGCAGTTAGGGAGATATAGCATCCCTGCCCGTGCTTACTGGTCCACGTATCAGTGGTTATGTGGACCTTGCCACAGATGGCGTTGCGCAGTGCACACCTGATTTTGTCCGCCAATTGGTTGTGCAGGGAAAGGATGGCTCGCCTGGAAAAGTAGTGGTTGCTGGGAAACCCATAAAAATAATCGCTGTAGTTTGCAGATTCAACACCAGAATTCTTTCCTAATCTGTCCCTCACATCTGCAGCATCCTCTCCCTACACTAATAGAGCTCATGTGACTCCAGCTGATATAGAGGCTGGGTCACATACTGCACTGGCCAATCACAGCCATGCCATTAGTAGGCATGGCTGTGATGGCTTCTAAGGGCACACGAGTCAAACGCTGAACACCGACCTCAAACCTGAACTGTTACTGAAATGCTCGGGTTCGGGGTCCAAAAATCGTAATGTTCGGTACAGTTACAGTTTACAGTTTGGGTTCACTCATCTCTAATATTTACCTATACAGCTTCCACATTTTCCTCATCACATACCACTTGCTTAAGATTTGGCTTTAGCTCATGGTTGACATACAAACATACCCCACTACCTTTCCTGTTTTTTTTCTATCCTTCCTAAATAGTGTGTACCCATTTAAGTTAACTGCCCAGTCATGTGTCTCATCACACCATGTTTCAGTTATGCATATTATGTCATGTTGTTTAGTGTTTGCTATTGTCTCTTGTTCCCCATTTTGTTATTTAGGCCCCTTGTGTTAGTAAGCATACATTTAATATTATCATGGGTCACTTGTACTTTTTGAGAATTTGTATCAATATAACACCTCCATTGCTCTGAGCTTGCCCCTCCCCCCATCTCCACTCCCTTATACTGAGCTAAAGCCCATCTCCTTTCTATCCTATCTCCATTTTCTAGATTGCTATGATCCCGCCCACGCCTTAGTTTAAAATCTCCTCCAACCTTCTAGCCATCCTGTCCCCCAGCACTGCAGACCCACTCCCGTTTAGGTACAATCCATTACTGTTATAAAGGTTGTACCCAGCAGTGCCATCTTAACAGCATTATGGGCCCCCGGGCAAAGCAGTGCACTGGGGCCCTGCCTACACAATAACTCACGGAAATAAATACAAAAATTATCGATAAAATTAAGCTTATTTATTTTTATATATATATATCTTCAGCAAATGCAATACATACATACACACAGACTGTTGAATATAGTCACAGACTCCTGAATACACACACACACCGACTGCTGAATACGCACACACAGAATGCTGAATACACACACGGACTTCTGAATACACACACAGACTGCTAAATACACGCACACAGACGTCTGAACACACACACACACACACACATAGACTGGTGATTACATACACACAGACAGTGTGTGAGAGGGTGCTGTATATAAGGGTGCTGTGTGTGAGGGGTGCAGTCTATAAGGGTAGTGTGTGTGTGTGTGGGGTGCAGTGTATAAGGGTAGTGTGTGTGTGTGTGTGTTGATTTCTGTGTGTGAGGGGTGCTGTGAGAGGGTGCTGTGTATAAGGGGTGCTATGTGTGTGGTGTGTTAGTTTAACGTCCTTTCCAGTGATGTTAGTTTAACGTCCTTTCCATCGAGAATTTTCTTCTTCATGGAAAATGGAACAGAGTGGGCCGGTGAGACGTATGGAGTAGTGATAGTGGGTGGTGGGGGACGGGGAGGGAAACCAGGGGTAAGCCAGACTGTATGACTGAGATCGCCAGGTAAGGGCCTGCCGGGCTTAACGAGACACTGCAACGAGATAGCCGATTCCACTTATCACCCTGTTAATCGTTTGGAGGCTGGCCGGGATAGCGACCGGGTCTCCTGATTGGAATCTGAGGAGTAAGCTGTCAGCCCTTTTGAACTAGAGCCGGGCCTGGGGACGTTGGCCTGAGCCGTTGTGAGCTTGTGTAGTTCTGCCTTACTGGCAGTGGCTGGGGAGGGGATACCCCTGAGTCTGAGCTCTGCTGACATTTTTGGAATGTACCAGAATCCCAGGTAACTGAGGGTAGAAGGGGTGAGGGATTAATTTGGAGACCCAGGCCTGACTGGCGTGCTGGGTATTTCGTCCAACAGCAGACCCATTATTGGGATGGATTCTTGTGATATTGTGAAAAAGAAATAATGTTTTGGATGTTTTGGATAAGTAATGTGTCTTAGAGGTGTGGAAGAAACCTTCGGAGAACTGGCCTGCTAGCTAGTGCCGAGGCAAAGAATTTACATAGAACCAAGTGACAGGGGAGGCCCTGCTGGTGCCAAGTGGCGGAGAGAGGCTCTACCTATGATTTGGGCTGAGGGAGTTTAGTGGCCACTCGAACGTGTTGGCAGGATGTTGGCCTCTCAGTGACAGGAAGAGATTCAAAACGTGTGGCCGTGACTTGGGAAGCCCTAACTGTAGCCCTAAAGAAGGGCGAGTGAGGTGGCTAACTATGATTTGGTCGTGGGGCTGAACCTACGTGTATGCGGTGGGGTGTAGACCTCGCGGGACCGTAGTATTACTTAGGATAGCTTAGGCCACTGCCTAACACTCAATGCCAGTTCTCTAGCCTGATGGGGCTTGTCTCTTAGAATGGTGTTATATAATGTATGAAGATACTTAAACCTTGAGTGTTTGTCCTCTTTCTTTGGGCAATGCGCAGGAAGATTACAATATATTCTTGCTTCTGCAGGGAACGGGCCCGGTCCGGGAAACCTTAGGGGAAAAAGATGCTAGAGGGCCTGAGGCGTGCCACTGGTTTAATGAGTGTAAAAATGTTGAACGTATAGGTAGGTGGGTATCAGAGATACTGTAATGTAAGAACTTAATAGGGAACACATGGGATTGGTAAGCTGAGGGACCTGAACGTTGGTCCGTAAATTAGAGACAAGCCCCTGGGATCCCACAAATGTGAATTTTTTTTTTAATGATACGAAGACGAAGTGAGACCTTAAGGAGAAACGTAATCGTAGTGAGTAAGATTACCAATACCTGATACTGCAATGCAGGGAACCAGATGTAGGTTGTCGATGGCGTAGGACTTGGCGAGCTGACACAGGTCTAAGTATTGATATGTAGAAATGAATGACAAAACATGTACCGTTAATTATAGTAGTAATACGGTGGATTATGTTTATGAGATTGTTGTTGACATTTTGTGAGGATCTTAGACCAGGTAAGTTTTGAAGTTTAGAACCCACTTTAGGAGGTGGGGGGCTGTATGAGGCCGTGGAGGCTGAATGAGGCCTCAAGGGAAAACGTAAAATGGTAAACCTTCTTACCTGTTACCGAAATGCGGGATACTGGGTACCTCTTCTTGGAGCTTTGTTTGGAAAAAAAAAAGTAGTAGAACCCAAAACATATGCATTCTAAGTATAAGGAACC